ACATATGTTTGTGCATACTTCTCCCAGCAGGAATGCATACAGTCCTGTCTGTAGGTTATCTGTCATAACACTGAGCAAAGAGGCCAAACATCCACTGATTACATAACAGGTTTATCATCAAAATATGATCCGAAGGAGAGTTGAAATGCTTGATTTACCGATAAAGTAAACACTCTTAACAGACCAGCACTCCCCTGCGAGTTAAAAAGGCTTCGGAACATTTGCATAAAATCCTTATTTGCGTTGAATCCTCGGAGATGTGTCAGCAGCGCTCTCTTTTTCGACGCAGAGGCACAGCACAACATGGAAAAATCATAAATCCTGCCTCCCTCCTCCATTTTTACTCCGGTCTCTCACCACAGGACTGGCAGCCACGGCCCACAGACTCCGAGCCGAAACCAGCCTCATGATTTCATTTTTTTTCTTTCGTTATTTCGACACATTTATCATCCCTCTTTCACATGTATTTATCAGCGGTTACAGCATTCTGGCAATTAGTGTTTTACAGTCGGCACAGGAAATTGAATTACACGCTCAGTTTGCAAAGCATTATTTAGCTAGGCATTACTCTGGTCTGTGAAGAGTACAGTGCTGGACATCTCATGTGAAATCTGTATGTGAGAGAGTTATGGAGGGAATGTGTGGTCTTATTCACTGTGAGCAGAATACATGTTCAGTCTTTAGTCGTGTAAAGTACCATCAACAACAATAATCATGTATTTGCTATGTTACTTGGTTCCTCGTTCTTAAATCTGAATGTTTTGCTTTTGTCGTTGTTTCAGATCAATGTTAAAGGTACCCTGTAGCGTTTTGACCACTAGTCTCACAGCCATGTTGTGTTTTTGTTTTTTTTACCATTTTACAGCTTTGTTTGCATCGGCCACAAACAAATAATATCAATCCAAAAGCATGCAACCAATGATTCAATCTCTGCCATGGCTTTCATGGAGTAACCTTTGACAAATCAGACTTCTACCTCGCTATTTCTTCCTGAAGGTTGTTCCCTTATTTTGGAGTTATTTCTAATCTAATTCGAGAAAAAGTTCTGGTTTATAGTGTGCAGACTTTAAAGCCCCTTCAGGGAAATTAGGGGTCTAGGGTGTATAATTATTCAGTATTCATATTCACTATACAACCCACTGTTTTAAGACACAACAATACGCAATCTGTACTGAAAAGAACACCTTTTAAAGGCTAAATGAAGTGGTACCAACACAATATCCTATTGCCACATTAAAAAGTGCATACTTGATATTAGATGATATCCCACTGTGCCATTATTCTGCAAGTATTTGAACATATTTTCTTTTGGAAAGTGGGAGTTTCTACATCAGGTCTAATTTAGTTCCCTTGTTCCTAAACTTTTTTCTACATGAACTATTCTTCAACAAGTTTCCACACAGGAAGCTTCCTCTCCTTTCCTCTTATGTCTTCCTCCTTCCTCTCTCCTCTTCTCTCCTTCATTTCCCTTCATCTACTTTCCTCTCTTCCTCTTCCTTCTAATTTCCACTCCTCTTGCCTATCCTCTTCTATCCTTCTGTCTAGTGTCCTTAACTCTCCTCTTCCCTCTCCTTTCTCCTTTTCTCATTTCGTTTCCTCTTCTTTCCTCCTCTTTGCTTTCCTTTTCCTTTACTTCCTACCCCTCTTTCCTCTTCCTCCTCCTCTCCTCCTCTCAGTTCAGCGCAGGTGGTCAGTCTCCCCCGGGTGCCGGTCTGCTACCTAATGCTGAGTTGATTAGGCTTTCTGAATAGCTCGTTTGGCCGCTACAAAAACCAAGAAGTCAGAATAAATCGTCAAGAGGGCAGTTGATGGTAATGACCGAGCCATCAATGATTGAGCCCATTCATGGCTGAAGTGGCTGGAGTGGGGGCTCCGCAGACCCTCCCTCCAGTCAGCCAGTCACTCTCAGCCCAGTGTGCATTGCTCTCATTACCGTACATTGTCTGGCCCTGTTCAAACGGCTGTAAGAAAGTGGGAGAGGGAGGAAAGGAAGGTAGAGATTAAATAATGGCCTCGCTGGTGGTATGGATTAGTTGATGGTGAAGTGAAAGGAACCGGCCCCTACTTGTGTACAGTGTACGCATGCGGCAAGATGGTCAAGATGCAAGATGACGTGAACAAAGACCGTTGAAACCACTCTATCAGATGTAGTTAGGATGATATGCAAGGCTTCATTCGATCTCTGATGGCTGCTTCTGCAAATCATCTCATTTGTTTGGGCCTGATTTTGAAAATGTCTGCTCTATTTAGAGTCAAACACATCGTAGTGTTTGAAAAGGAAAAGCACCACAAGACTAAACGGCTCTCCCTCTCCTCTCCACAGGCATGCCGGCGGCCTCCTTGGTGACCCCGGCTGACGTGATCAAGACACGGCTGCAGGTGGCGGCGCGGGCCGGGCAGACCACCTACAGCGGCCTGGTGGACTGCTTCTGGAAGATTCTCCGAGAGGAGGGACCCCGGGCCTTCTGGAAAGGAGCTGGAGGTAATGTTCGCTGAGGCCAATGTCTAATCTTAAAATGACTGTTTTACTTTTGTCCCGGGTTTCACCTCTCAGGCTACTGGAGTTTGGCCTGCTTTATTGGTGGAGGCTGCTGGGCCGTGTGCAGAGGCTGTCTAAAAACTCCTATTATCACTTCCTTTTTGGGGGGGAATCAGTTTTAATCTTTGTTTTTATTTGAGGGTTACAATACACTTACATTGGAGGCATACTTTTACAAACATTGGCTAGTATGTCACTCTGGAAGAAGACCATTTTCTTTCCCGATGTGTCATCGCAATGATTAAGAAATGTGTTCCATTCATTTTTAGCAGTTTTTACCGTAGGCTATGCAATACTGTGTTTGGTAAAAAATGAAATTATTTATTTAATATGGATTATGTCCAAAACAGATTAAGCTGTAAATATATGACACACGTAAATTAGCCTGTTACTTAAAGAAGTTTTTTCAGATAACATTATGTCATTTCAAGGCACAGGATACATTCTCTTCTGTTTGTAATGTAATGGGCCACATGTGTTGGAATGACACAAACATTACGAATCAATTTAAATAAACACATTTCTTCTCCTTCCTGCAGCTCGTGTGTTCAGATCCTCTCCTCAGTTTGGAGTGACCTTGGTGACCTATGAACTCCTTCAGCGCTGGTTCTATGTTGACTTTGGAGGACAGTAAGTCTCTTTCTCTCTCACAGCTTCCATCTACCAGCTTCTATATATCTTCCTGTCTTGCCTAAAGAAAGAATATTACATCTTCATCCTCCTATAAAACACCATCTGCTTCCAGAACAATGGGGTTCATTTGAACACACAGTAGCTGCGCTCGGTGCGGGTCCTCCCTCCTCCACCACAGAGAAAGAAATGTCCTCGAGATCCAAAAATAATTTCCGAGCCCATTAGTGCACAGACTGAAGCTCTCACTCAGCGCTCTGGATGTGACAATTTTCTCAGACTGGAGAGTGTGTGTGATCAGGCAGGCAGCGCCCACATGTACTTTCCCCTCTTCTAGGATTAAGATGAGCTCGTTTTGCTCCTTAAAATAAGTCTCTCTGGGATCATTCACAAATTTCCTAAAGTTAAAAAGGTCCAGTGGGGAAAGAGGTGGTGAACCTCTCGGAATGAGAAATGGACAGCTGTGCGGCACATGCGTGTATGACAGTGCGTGGCTCGTGGCTTCTCTTCACGTAGCTGAAGACTCGCAGTGAAAGAAAATCATGTGCAGATCCGAGGAGAATTTGGTTTGGTTTGGGGAAGTTGATCTGTGCTGCTTTGCTGTCCGTGTTGGCAGCCGTTCACAAAGCTCTGTGAAATCAGCGAGGGATTGGATTTGTTCCGCTTTGGATTCTCTATTAACATGTTTATTTCTGTGGTGAACAGTGCTGAATATGATAATATTAATTCAAGATTTAAAAAGGAAAATAAAATGCTCACTTTCCCCCGTGTTTGGTAAAACAACATCTTGCACAGTTTGTTGTTTCCCCTCTAACTCCACCACACCTCACCTTTTCTCTCTCCCTGTGCCTCTGGCGTCCTCCCCCGTCTCTCGCCCTCTCCCCCTCTCTCTCTCCCCACCACAGAAAGCCGGCTGGCTCCGAGCCCACCCCCAAGTCTCGGATCAGCCTCCCGGCGCCCAACCCCGACCACATCGGAGGCTTCAGGTTGGCCGTGGCCACGTTCGCTGGCATCGAGAACAAGTTTGGGCTCCATCTCCCACGCTACACGGTGGCCCCCCCCGCTGTGAGCGACCCCTGAACCTCCACGGGTAGCAGGGTTATTGCAAGAGAGGGCTTGAATGTAGTATTTTAAGTCATTTATTTTATTCGTATTATCATATATACATGTATACAAAGAAAACTCTTTGTCGGACTAGTGCAGTGTTTGTTTTAATCTTGATTGACATTGTATAGTTTTATTATGCGGTTTGTTTTCATACAGTTCCACTGGCTCAGTATAACGCACAGGCAGAAGTTTAAAAACACCTCCACTGCTTTGATTTTGGGGAATATTTGATCAAAAACGACTTTAGTTACAGTTTTTGAGTGTCTTTTTGTTACTTTAAAACCAAAAAAGACCATTAATGTAGCACCTTTGTATATAAGAGACATCCAGAGACATATATTTGAATATGTATAGTTCTATTTTTATCTTTCAATTGTAATATATGTATCTACAAGATTAGGGACCAATACGTTATTGAATGTAAAGTAGCAGTATCATTCTGAATGTACACAATGTTTACTTTCAGAGCTAAATGTATGCAGATGTGTGAATATCTGAGAGACAGCTGGCAGCGACTGCAGGTCTGTAGTGTGTCACGACTGAGTGTTTAAACGTGTACAGTCCTGAGAATGTAGGAGTTACATGTGGTGAGTAATAACAGTGCCTTACTGTGCGTATGGCAGCAACATGTGTACCGAGAGTAAAGAGAATCGTATATTAGTAAACTGAGTGCTGGAGTTTTTATTTTCACTCCCAGATGAACGCTGTTAAGAAAAAGCAAGACAACAGTACATCAGCTTTAATAGTAAACATAACATGTTTGAACAGCCAGCACACTGCATTACAATATACCTCTTGATAATTAACAGTTCATTAAAGAATATACAGCTGTTGCTTGGGAACAAAGTGCCGATACCAGACGTGACTCAGTTTCTGACGCAAAGCAACCACGTGTGGAAACGTCACCATGGCAACTCCATGTTTATGCTTCCGGAATATTTCAGGAATGTGTCGCATGCAGGCGTTATACAGAGAAATCAACACAACGTAAAAGTAAACGTGATATTTTGTAAACAATACATGGACCCTGCTTTGATTTTACAGTAGTGCAAAGCTTTGTCACAGTACACTTATCTTAAGGCTATAAGACTGCCACTGTTTATACTGTAGGCTCACAGGGTGCAAGCAACAAATCACCTTAAGTCAGTAAGGAAATAAATAAGGGCGGACAAGTAGAAGAGGTCAACAGTTAAACCATTTAAAATGCAAGAAATCCATGAAGGAAACAGCGGCCTTGTTCGGACCAAACAGCAACATGTACATACTGTAAATAAAACAACTGATTGAGACACACCACATGCTACAGTGACACCGATAAAGCTCACAGAGGCGGCACTACGAAGTACCTTTGAGAGAACCAGGCTTTCTTTACGTTAGCTGGCTCAACAAAACCCTACTCAGAAAAGATGGTTATCAACAGTCTTTGTTAACCCAGGTTTTCTTCATCAGGTTCTGTGAGCGTTCCTATACAGCCGGATGTTTAGTGCTTCATTTGAGTCCTATATCCACACAGAGGGGATCTTCTCCTGCTGCCTACCTTAGTGAAGAGGAGCAGGTCATGGTAATGGTAAGTTAGGGAGAAGATTTGTGACAAAAAGATTTGCTCATAATCTGCAAATAAGGCAAAAGCGCAATGATGGCAGAATACCCTAATTGTGTGAATTTGTAAATTAATATATTCATTTTTACCACTCATTGCACTCTTAATGCGAATGGGGACAACTGAACAAGCTATAAAACGGGATGCAACTGACCTTATACTCAAGTATAATATTTGGACGTTTTTGTCCAATTTGAATGACTTTTATTGATTGAAAGTTAACTACTAATAAACTAAACCATTTCTGAAAGACTTTAGGGGGCAGCTTTACCAGACCACACTATTGAAAGCTTGAGTGACGGGTGTGTGGGTGCAATTTACCACACATAGGTATTCTATGAAGAATTATACTGCATTCATATGCAAGTAAACATCATATTGATTCATATTTAAGTTAAGTAAAAATGTATGCTACCTTCAGCTTTAAAGGAGGCTTATTTAAGTTTTCCAGGGATCACTACAACCAAGCAGAATTTCATACACAGTATTATAGCTCTGATTTTCCGCATCACTAACTGTATACCAACAATACATGTAGCTTCCACGATAATTTCTAAGCTCAGTTCAGTGGAATTCCTATAGACGGCCCAACACATTTACATTTATAATGTATTCCCTTGCTGAGATTCTATATATCGCTCATAGAGAATATCTGTAGGAAAAGCCAGCATGTCTAAAAACAATCCCTCCAAATTCTGGCACCTAGGTTTACAGAATTTGGCAAGAATGGTACGGCTATTTTATAAGCAGTTGATAAGGGAAATGGTGGTGATTTTTATGATGGATTTCAATCCAAAGCACAACCTGCTCTGGAAGAGGTTAAAATACCATGGCGAGCTTAGCCAGGTTAAATGGTAAAAGGCCACACACACCTCTCTAACCCAATCATCTGGCTCCGTAGTGCACCCTCTGCTCTCTGATCCACCCTCATTGGTCTGGAGGCCTGCTCTATGAATCCAGCTCCATAGGCCCCTCCTCCTCGCCGTCCGCCCGGTTGGCACGGATCTCCATCAGCGTCCGAGCGAAGCGCGACCAATCATCGGTGTGAGTCACTGACAGCTGAGGGAGGAACAGGAACAGGAAACATGGCATTAAGTGCTGGCTTCATCTGCACGCTGTGTTATGACTTGTTATGAGACCAGAGAATCATCTCCAAGGATGAATGACACATTGATTTTCATTCAAGACAAGTTTATTCTTGATGACAAAGGCTGTGTTTTGACCGATCTTAGGGTATAGACGAGGTCATGTCCCTTCGTTGCATCCTTATTTGATTTTAAACTCTAATAATTTGATGTTAAATGCAATCATGGTACCAATAACACATTCTATGACTTCCTGTTAGAGCCTTATCTTTTTTTGGCTCCCTTAATTGTCTTGAGAAAAAGACCCAGCATCCCTATATCATTGGGGACAAAGCATTTCAGTAAGAAGAATCCTGTCAATCCATCAAATAGTTGTTATATTTCTGCATGTCTGAAATGCTATAAGAGGCAGTAACCATGGCGCTGATACAGGAAGTCAAACTGTTCTCTAAGTGTGGAGCTGCAGTCCGACCCTGTGGGAGTCGGAGTGGGGGGGGAGTGGGTGGGGACAGGAGCCGCGGCCGCCACCCAGGCTGTCTGTAACCGCTCTGCATGGCCAGGCTGTAATTAAACAGGAACCAGGAGGAGGGAGGCGGCCATTTTGAACCCCCCCACAGAGCCGGGCCGGCAGCAGCAGGGGCTCCGGCTGAACACTGAGTATATGGAGCCTGAGTGACTTCCGTTTGGAGAAATGTAAGACTGCTAAGTGTCAAAGAAACTCTGAGATTTAGTGTTTTTCAGGCTTTAAAAAATTACTTTTTCATCTGATGAAGCAACATGAAACACTAACTTTGGCAACCATCCAAAATACTTTTAATGGCTTTAACTTAAAGGTGGGGTAGGTCATTTTGGAGAAACCAGCTCGAGTGCGCTAGAATTTGAAAATACACAACCGGAAAAAATCTGCCACTTCCTTACAGAGCCCCTCCTCCAACACACATGAACGCGCACATGACCAATGAGGGCACGAGATAAGTTTGTGCACAGATGGAAGGCTGACAGGCAGGTAGGCCATCCAGTTATTTTAGCCGGGCCGGCTAAAATGATTGGTCGTGCTTTTTACAGTACTACGGCTTCCAATGATGACATTTTTTGATGGATTTTTTGTCAAAGCACTTAAGATATTCATTGCTATCGGGATGTTAAGAGCATTCCATGGAATATAACAAAAAGTGTATCTCGAGCCGGTTTCTCAAACTTACCTACCCCACCTTTAACATTATTGTCATTTAGATAGATCTGAAGGTTATTTCCTAGATTAAAGGACATATCGCTTCTTCTATAATAGACCCCTGGAGACAATAAATCTAATCTAATCTATAAAATGTCAGAAAATATTGAAAAATGTCTATCCCAGTTTCTCCAAAACTGAGGGGATTCACGTCAGTCAAAAACCAAAAGATATTCAGTTTAATATGACAAGCTCAGAGAAAATCTTGGAAAGGTCCGTATTTGAGAAGTTGCAAACAGCATTTTCTGCCTTTTTTTCATGTAAAAAACGTATCAAAATAGTTTGTGATCATTTGTTGATAGATGAGTCTTGTTATTGTTGTAGCTCCAGCACAGACTAACATAAGTAGAATCCTTATCCCTGCTGATTAACCACCTAAAACTAGTTTGTACGAAATAAAATAATACTAAAGTAAATACATTTGCATATAAACCTTACTGCTGTCACTTTTTCCCCAGTTTTAGCTATTTGGGGAGTTTATAGTGAAGTAAATACTCCCATCATCCACCACACACACACTCCTCTGTGGAGTCATAAAACCCCTCTCCTTTTTATTGATGACTCTTCGTTACCATTAACCCAGCTCAGCCGAACCTCTCTCAACTCACCACACAACAAAAAGTTGCTAAATTTAGCCCCGTGGCTAGGCTAACGCGGCCTCACATGGGGATCCTAACCAGATCCCTCCAACCATGAGAAAACATGCAGGCTCGGGCGGGGGGGGCCTGGCTGCTTTGTGGTGATGGCAAAGTCACGTGGAGGACGTTTTACAGGGACAGGAAACAGGGAGGAGGAAGAATCAAACGCTCACAGTCATGGCAAAACTGACAGTTGGGTAAACATCCAGAGCTGAGGGGCCTAAAATGATCAGTGGTGGTGCATGTGGAGGTTTTTACAGAGAAAAAATGCACCTATTTCTGCTCTTATGTCTTTCGCCAAAGTAGGTGAACCAAATATACATGAAACGAGACTACAGTATGTACTGAGCAAATGCAAAACTGTAAAATCATGACTCAGTTAAAATAACATACACAATCGGACTATTTGTAGCTGTTTTTCCCAACACATGACAGTTTATTTTGGTAGAATCAGGAGTGAGGTATTACTTTAGCTCCACCAGTCACTCAAAGTCAGGCTCTGAAATCTCTTAATAAATCTGCTGAAGTACAACTCAATTGCAACAGTAATATGTGTCGGTCATTGTAGTAAACCCAAGCTTTAGGCACCTAGGCTGTAATTAAATCTTGGATTGTTTTAAATTAAACTTGCCACCAGCTCCAGGCATCACAGCACTTTGGTAAAAACAGGAGTGCTCACTCTGCCCTTGTTTTCGGGTACAAAAATGATTCTGATCTACAATATATTGTTTGATGTGATTCATACTGTTTACATTTAAACGATGATTACATGTACCTCTCCAGTATCATAGATCCAGACCCTGCCCTCTGAGTCGCCCACAGCCACCTCCTTCCCCCCCGACGACCAGCGCACTCTGTTCAGGGCTGAAGCGCCCTCAATGGTCACACTGGCAGTGGGGACCTGGAGGACAAGAAATTCAACTAATTCAGTTTTTGTATCAATATTGTAAACATCTTATACATTACATTTCATTTAGCTGACGCTTTTATCCAAAGCGACTTACAATTATCAATTACAGGGACATTCTCCCTGGAGTAACTGAGGGCTAAGTGCCTTACTCAAGGGCACACTAGTGGTGGTGTTCCAGGCAGGATTTGAACTCACGACCTTCCGATCTTCAGCCCACCTCACTATCGATTAGACCAACAGTACCCCATATATATTATTCCACATATAGATCACATTTCAATAATGAATCTTACACATCTGATTTGTCCCATGTAAACTGGGATGTATAAAACTTTCTATTCTACGATATTTGTTATATATATTATGATGTCTTTAATGACACTTATTTTCAACATTGTATAAGATATATGTTTAATGGCAAACTGTTCTATACTATGATTGTTAAAAACATTTTGTGGGATACTGCCTTTTGGAATACTTTTTATGATTTTTTCGTATCACATAAAATACCATGAGGTTTGTACTTTACTTTGATTATCATCTGAATCTCTTTAAATGACACACTATACTTTAATTTGTAATTATGCTTTTTATGACATATACTTGAACTTTTATTAAAACATTATATTGAAACAAAGAAGTGGAAAGACCCATTAGAACCTTATCTTGTTTAGTAGTACAGAACATTATGCACCTTGGACATAAATAAAGATGCTATCTTAGCCTCTAATAAGGCACATAAATATTTATAAAACCCTACAACACCATAAACACACCACCTCCTCCTCCTCCCCCTCCACGCTGCGAATGAGTCCTTATTTATTTTAATGTAATGACCCTAATTGCAGTTAAAGCTATTCCTCTTAATGTTTATTGGGAAATGGGGGCATTACGCCATTATAGTCTAATTTACAGAACACGTTTACTACATTGAAAGCACAACTTTGTCCAAACACTCAGGAGGTTTTACAAACATCGCTGTCACATTTACAACTTCTCATTCAAATGTGGACACACACAGAGCTATTTACTGTATAATAACTGCGCTGGTGTTTGCTGTTGTGGGCGAGCTGTTGCTCTTTTTGGTAAACAGTCGTGCTCGTGTTGCACCTTTAAAAACCTAAAACCATCTGTTTCCATAAACTGTTCCTGACGTGCGGCAGGCGAGTCTGACACATGTCACCAGTGGAGACAGAGGCCTTGGCATCACGTCGCCTCACACACCGAGCTCCTGCGTATTTAAAGCAGCGCTAACCACAGACTGACTGCCATTAGCCTGCTAGCTTCCACCGCTGCGCCCGAGTGGATCTGAACTGAGCGCTTTAAATTGGCTGTATATGTCTGTGTGCTGGAAATGAGAACCAGGCGCTCCGTTAGTGTCGTTATGTGTGTTTTTAATATATGATGGCAACAATGGAAGTCTGTTGCTATTAGACTGTGTATGAGAGGATGTGTGTGCATGTGTTCGGTACATCCGTTTGTGTGTGTGTGTGTGTCGAGCAAATGTTTCTCATAAAGCACATTATTAGCCGAGTTAGTCCGTGGATAATTAACTCTTCCTCTGTCTGTGAAAAGGCCGCTGTTAAGGGAGCCATGGGAAAATGATCATCTGTGCTGCAGAGGGAAGAGCCAGCGCTGGTGATGGGGGGGGGGGGAGATCGGGGGGGGGGGCAGACAGAGACAGATACAACTTAAATGAGCCACAAACTCTGGAGGGGCGATGTGAATTTGATATCTGCAAGAAAGTAAGAGTGAAAGAGAGAGCATCTGTAGAGATGCAGACCTGTATCAAGGTCTGAAGGCACTGTGGGTGTTGTCTCCATGGAAACCAAGAGGAGCAGGAGAATCCTTTTATCCCTACTTTGTCCTGCGTGATCAAAGCTATAATACCCACTCTCGTATCAGAGTTGCAGAAAAGTTTTTCAGACTCTTGGCTGAAGAGTTATTTTCAATTTAATGCAACTTTTGACTCTTTAGAGGAATAGTTAAAAAAGTTTGGGACATACATTTTTTCCCAATCTTCCTAAATATACCTTATAAATAAGAATCAGCAAAAAAACAACGTGCCTGATTTGTAGAATAAAGTCACCTTGAGAGCATCAGATAATATTGCTACTGCTACAAAAAGGTATGTCATATTTTACATTACATTTATGTATTTTACGTTGTGTATAGTTAAACTGACTAATAACACTGGCCTCAAATGCTCTCTTCTGAAGAATTTTTCGCCCGAATGCAGTGAGAAACCCTGAACTTTCTCCTTTTATGATTTCCCTCTCAGGATGGGCCTGCGGACTGAGGGCTCTGAGCTTGTGGTCTCCTTCACATCTGTGCTCTTCACTGACGGAGCGCAGTGTGGGAGGCAGATGATGCGAGGTGGTGGGGTGCTGAAGTTGCCTGAACGTTGGACAGAGGTTGCAGGAATGTTAGCGGGACGTCTGGGTGGGAACTGGTGATGAGAAGCTGTCACCCGGTTTGATTTAAAGTGAGGGATGCGGGGAAACGCCCACAGAATCTTGAATCGTGTGTGTGTGTGTTGGGAGGGATGTGGAGGGGTTGGTAGTGGAGGAAGGGGGGGGGGGGGGGGGGTGGGAGGAAAAGGCTTTTGGGTGTTTGGTTGTGCGGTTCGGGGCAGAAGCCCAGCAACAGGCCCTGAGGACAGCAAACACACACATCAACACACAAAGAGATGCCAGAGAAAACACGCCCATGATGACCTATATTCACCCGACACACACACTCACACACACCTCAGTGTCGTTGTTGAGGTTCCACAGGTCCAAGCGGCCCATGCCATCCACGGCGGCGAACACGGCGGGGTGCACGGGCGACCACATGACGTCGTACACATAGTCGGCGTTGTCCTCAAACGAGTACAAAGGCTTGTTGTGCTGAAAGAGAGAAAAAAGAGGACATCTATGGACGTGTGTTTGGTGTCATAAAGAACTGTCGAGAAAGAGAGAGACAGTAACGGATTGCACAAGATGACACACTGGAGATAGAGAGAAAACAGAGAGACAGAGGGCGAGAAGGAATGGAGAGAGGGAGTGAGCGAGCTTCAGACAGAGTGGCGCTGCCTCAGCCTTGGGGCCTGTCTGGGTGCAGAGCCTAATTAAAAAGCCTAGCACATTCACACAGAACCATAAAACCGCTGGGAGAGATGAAAGGGAGGGCCCCTCCACAAGGTGTACTGTAACCTCAACACAACAGCTGTCTGCGGGAGGGTGGGGGAGAGAGGGAGAGATGGGAAGGGATGGGAGGAAATATAGGGGTTGACAATGTACGCGGGAAAGGATGTGTGTAAAAGTGTGTGTGTGTTTGTTTGTGAGCATGGAGGGCCGGATTCTTTCAGGCCTGCACTGGAATCAATGTTTCAGAGAGAAGCAGTATATTCATCTTTCAACATAAACAAATGTTCTTTGAGTCCAAAACAGTGTGAACATCTTTAGAAAATACGTGTCAGTGCTCTCTGGTGGACAAACTTCTGTCTTAATGATCTAAAGCAGAACTTTTTCTGTTGTTTCAAGTTAATAATTGGCCAAAAAACACACTAGTAAACCTGTGATGAGCCAACATTGGATCATAATTTATCTAATCATTATCGATATCAGTATCGATCTATGCGTTTGTGAAGTTAAGGCCCAAAAGCAAAGCAGGATGAAACAAAAAATGTAAGTATTTAATAATCTTGTATCAGATAAGTTAGGTTTGAGTATACCAAGTTATTTTACAGCAATTTATATTTCATATTTTATTTTCCTTATGTGTTTTTGTTATTTTGTAAACCCTACAAGAGATAATGCAAGTAATTGTAAATGCAGGTAAATGGTATAATATAACTTCCATTATTTTGTTTTAGAAAAAAACAATAAAAAAGTAAGAAAATAAAGAAAAATAAAAAATGTTCACATAACCTCCTTACTCAACTGCTTAAAGGATTTTGATCTTGTGTAAATTAAAGATTGGTGGATCAGTTAAATACAGTACATGTGTGTGTGTGTATGTGTATGTGTATGTGTATGTGTATGTGTATGTGTATGTGTATGTGTATGGGTATGTGTGTGTGTGTGTGTGTGTGTGTGTGTGTGTGTGTGTGTGTGTGTGTGTGTGTGTGTGTGTGTGTGTGTGTGTGTGTGTGTGTGTGTGCCCATCTCTCAGAGCGGCTGTTAGGATTCCAGAGGCTCACAGACTGCATTCCTGACAGGTAGAGAGGGAGACAGGTTGGCTGGAGGAGCAGAAAGAGGAATGCAGTCTCTCGCCCACTCTCCTCCTCCTCTCATTCCTTCTCTCTCTCCATCACCTTTACCCTCTCGCTCCACAGTTGTTCTGAAATGCTGTGAGACCTGCAGACAGATAGCGACGCACTCGCACACGAACACAAACAAACAGTCCAGCCAATTTCAAGCTTCGATTGAACCTGTTTTCCAGCCGGCGGGTGACAGCGGAGGTCATTTTTCTCTATCTCGCAGTGTCAGCGTTCGATCAGACGTTCCTGTTTATGTTCTCACTCTTTTTATCCCCTCCTGGTTTTAGTCTCACACTCTTTTACCCATCCTTGGGCTCCACATCATCAAATAACCTAAAACGTCCTTTCATTTTGATAATCTGGCTGAATTAAGCCCCAAATGCCATGTCACACCTTCTTTTTGAAGTAGGTGCTTCTGGTCTTACAGATGAATACAGTCCTATTATTCAAAATGTAAACTACTATTTTACCAAAGTCCATAATCTACCTATCTTAAATAAGGTGATTTGGGTAAATAATCTGCAGCAACAAGTCTTAAAACTAATCTTTAAATGGAACTTAATCCGCGTGGCGCCGCACTGGTTGTCATTATCTCTCCTGCCGAGGAGCTCAGGAGCTTCCAGCCGTTTGAACTGGAACAGCAGCGCCGGGTACTGAGAGCTGACATCACAGTGTCACATTTAAGAGTGGATTGGTGCAATTTAAGTTAAGATAAGTTAAGCATTTCATCAGAATCAGAATACCTTTTGCATTTATACATTAGATATTGATGTAAAAACATATACGTCAGCCTGCGTCGTCTGATGTTGCCTTCAAAAATATTAGTAAATATAATATAATATAAATAAGTCCCACGGAAATGATAGAACCTTTAACTTAACTTTAATAAATAGCTTTTCCTCCAGAGCCATACGACAACTGAATAAAACAAACATTAAAGTAGCAATACAACACATACAGTTAAAGAAAAATCTCAACTGCTTCTCAAGTCATGAACACATATTTATTTCATGTACTGCCTTTTTTTTTTCATTGTACCTGGTGCAATGACAATAAAGGAATTCCAATCTTTCGAACTTTTCAGGTCTGCAATCAACATTTTAGCGTTTGTGGTCTCAAAATGAAAAGTGAGTCTTATTGAAAACCTTCCATCAACTGACTTTCCAGAGGTATCCAAACCATCTCCAGTCGTAAACACTAACTTCCCTGCTTCCATCCAATGGCTGTATGACAAACGTTGAAACACTAGCTTGATAGCTTAGCACTAGCTTTAGTAACTACAAAATAATAACGCCAAGAAATCCTTAACTTAAACTCAAACAGTCTTAATTTCATCACACAGACATCGCCTGAACTGCCTGTTCCTTTAATGAACTTCTTAAGAGTGGAAAAGAGGAACGATTATGCTCCAGTCACTTAGTGCAGGCTGGTTCTGGGGTCAAGAGAGCAACAAGGTTCAAGTTATGCACAATCATGAACACACTCCCAGCTGTCGGTGTGTCTCACACTCCGGCCCACTCCAAATGCTTTCACTAACCACAATATTTGCACCGCCGAGTGTGAAAACATCGGCAGACTTCTGTGCAAGACCCTCTCTGAACTGCGAGGGCAAACGTCAATGCAGAGAAGAGAATTCACTGCGAATGTGTGTGTGTGTGTGTGTTACAACAGTTGGGTTGAAGGCAAACCTCAGGAGATTTTAGGTAAGCAAAGGCGGCTTGCTTAAGGTGCATGAGAGGCATGTGTGGTGTGTCTATATTTGGGCACACACACACACACACATTCACAAACACAGGTATTTTGCCTGCCCACACACAAATATGGGTTATGTGGGATGAGAGACAGACACACATTCCTGCGGTGCCCCTCAAAGGGAAAGGGAATTCCCAAATCCTGAAAAATAACAAACTCTTCTGATGAAAATCCGCAGAAATGTTTTAATACGCATCACGGGACCCTTCGCACAAGACTTATGGACGAGCTGCATGCAAACATCAGCTAAGAGTGTTTTACTGCCTGTCACAGCGAGCATGAGGCTGTAACTGGATCTTGCACAAAGCTGAAGGCATTATGCAAGATGCATTATGTATTTTCCTCACATTGAAAAGGTCTCTCTTTGATTTGGCTGTTTGCTGTCTGACGCCCTGCTCGTGTTGGTCCCTGTGTCCTTCAGCGTTAGCATCACCCTCACTATTAACCATGACGATTTCTTCTCTTTTTTTGTCATCCTGGCACTTTTCCCCTAACTCCATTCTGCTGATCTCTCACTATTTACTGTTCTTCCTTCCTTCTTCCATCACTTTTACAGTAAGTTGTGGTATCTTGCTATTTGATGACCTTTCACCTTTCCACCGAAATCACAATTAGTATCTTATCTTATTATCCTCATTTGTTTCTCTTGTGCGGTATCTAAGATGTATCTGGGCAGACTACTCTGCGTCTCACCTCCACCACCAAAAGTCTTCGGATGTTTTAATGAACAAATATAAAATACGATACTCTTCTAACTCCCTGAGGTGCACAATGTTTAAGATCTAATGAAACCAGCCAATATGATAAGAAGTGTCAAAGAATAATGTATAGAACAATAATCAATAGCTATAAATAAATCAAATGAATGAGGTTACAATTTTGATACTAGAAAACGAAATATTTTTTAAATACATGCCTTTTCAAACATAATTAATATCTGTTATAACCTAATTTATTTTTCCTAAAGTAACAATTGTACTATTGTTAGTATGCAGGCAGGAGGTTCTTCCCTAAGTTAGCCTTACAAGCAAACCTTTAGTATTTATGTTGTATTGTCAGTACATTTGTTCTGTACACTTTATAAAGGAACAGGGAACAGATTTCCTGGCAGTCAGATCAATATAAAAAAAGTTTGAAAATGATTTGTTCAGTCAAAGTATCAAAATCAAAACAATGTCAATACTTACTTAATGTCATACTTAACCATAATTGTGTCACTTTGCTTTTGAATAAGTATCAGTATCCCTAGACCCAGTCACACACGAGTAAAAGGAGACGGACAGATTTTCAAAAAAAGTTGCTCACCTACAGTACAGTACTTAGCTTTCTCCCCTGTCTCACTAGCTCTCTGTCGCACACACATTTCCTCTCTCTCTTGAAATCTCCACAATCAACCCCCCACACGACACACACACACACACACACACAACACACACACACACACACACACACACACACACACACACACACACACACACACACACACACACACACACACACACACACACACACACACACACACACACACACACACACACACACACACACACACACCACACACACACACACACACACACACACACACACACACACACACACACACACACACACACACACACACACACACACACACACACACACACACACACACACACACACACACACACACACACACACACACACACACACACACACACACACACAGTACCTTGGTGCTCCAGAGTTTGACGGTCCAGTCGAAGGAGGATGTGATGAAGAGATGTGAGAAGTCGACGGTGCCCACTGCGCTGTGGCAGCTGACGCCCGTCACCGGCCCCTGGTGGCCCTCGAACATCTCACAGATCCCCGCTTTGCTGCGGGAGGAGGACACGAGCGAGCACATTACCACACTATTCAGCCCTGCAGTGCACTATTTCTATTCTATTTTATTTGTATTACTTACACTATTTTAACTATTTTGTCCGTTTTATTATGTTGCACCGTTGGAGGAGCCTGTGACCTAAGATTTTCATTGACATATCTACACTGTAGCTATGTAGACATGACAATAAAAGCCTTGAATCTTGAATCAGTGTTTGAGGTGTGTAAACTTTAATAAATAAAAATCCGTAAAATGGTTTGTGTCCTACTGAAATTAAGTTAAGGCACAGTAGGGGAAACTTTATTAAAACTGAAACAAATACCAATAAATTAAACTCTTTAATATATGGGATTATCATCAATTACAATTATATAAAACAAGTCTGATATTTATTGGAATTTTTAGACATTTTCATGAATTTCTTTTATTGTATATTTTTTGCCAAAATATGTTTACGACAATGTTATAATTCTATATTGTACAGGTGAGAAAAAAGACGTCAGTCCAAACATACAAAAGTGAGCCAGCAAAGATGTGTGACGATTTCTTTGCTTTTGTGTGTGTGTGTGTGTGTGTGTGTGTGTGTGTGTGTGTGTGTGTGTGTGTGTGTGCACCAACCTGCCATGCCTGGATGCAGTGTACACAGTGCCCTCCTCACTCCCGACCACATAGTTGTTAACGTCTCCCGTGGGGAACGCCATGCCTGTCACCGCCACAGGTTTGGATTTATTGTACACCAGTTCCATGGTCTCCTACAACACACACACGCACACGCACACACACACACACACACTAATGTCAGCCGCCTGTACTGTATACAAATATCCAAACTGTTATCACATTCTGTACTATAACTTTTTAATGACAAAATACATGATGATTTGTATTGCATATTATACGTGTCATTTTTTGATTTTATTCGGCATTTTAACAAATCATTGTAATGTGTTGGGAGTGTGTTGTGCACCTGTGGCTGGGAGAGCATATCCAGACTCCAGGAGCACATCCTGCCGTCTGTAGACACAGTGATCAGGTTGTTGGCATTTTGGGTACCGACCACGTTCACGCAGTACACTGGGTGCTACACACACACACACACACACACACACACACACACACACACACACACACACACACACACACACACACACACACACACACACACACACACACACACACACACACACACACACACACACACACACACACACACACACACACACACACACACACACACACACACACACACACACACACACACACACACACACACACACACACACACACACACACACACACACACACACACACACACACACACACACACACACACACACACACACACACACACACACACGAGAGAGATAACGACACACAGGCACATAAATGAGATGGGTTGGGTTATTCAGTACACTTGCACAATAGAACAATAATAAATGTATCTCGTAACATTTCAACTGAAATATGAATACAACAATTCCCATTAAAATGCTTCTTTTTCTCCTGGATATTGTGATCACAATCATACATCCTAATTTGTCTCAGTGATAAGTCTAAATTATTATTAATAAAGAAGAGGAAGCACTTTGGTTAACTGTTGTGGTTTTTAAATGTGTCTTAATAATGAACTAGAATTGGATGAGACTTTCTATTAAATATTTCTGCACATTCATTCAGTTGCACTACAAATATTTGGTTCATTTCTAACAGCAGTAGGCATTCAGGGACATAACATAATAATTTGATACGCTAATATTCATAAAATTAGGTTTTAAACACAGTCCTGTAATGATAATGTAATTTTACCCTTAAACACATGACATCATTAGACATTCTGCACAGATGCGGTAGGCTCCCATGGCAGTGTGCAGTCGCTCCTTACGACAGGAGTGTGTGAAACCATTATGTCATTACTGGCCAGTAATTGACTTGTGTACTGGGCAGCACAAAGAGCCCTTTCAGCAATCAGCACCGTGTTAGCAGGCTGGAGTCACTGACTGGAGTACGAGAGCAGGACCTCATTGTTGGAATTATAAACCTACTGCGTGTGTGTGTCTGTGTGTGTGTGTGCGTGTGTGTGTGTGTGTGTGTGTGTGTGTGTGTCTACAGGACTGCTGTAGCTGTGATTATAAACGAACCGCATGTTAACATATTTCTAGTGTATATTCAGTAATTTGTCGTCTGGGGACAATGAGTTCAATGAAGCTCCTTAACTGAGCTGTCTGTTTAGCTTTGTCTAGAATTGGACTAGTTAAGTGTGTGTGTATCTGTGTGTGTGTGTGTGTGTGTGTGTGTGTGTGTGTGTGTGTGTGTGCTTCTATTGTTAAAATAATCAGTTTTGAAAATGCAGGACTATTATGTAAAACATGTATTTCTGCATTAATTAGATATAAATTAATATCTATACATCAGGGTTTTATGTTGGGTTATTATAATATTTCCATTCTGAATTGTTCCTATTGTATACTTTTTCATTCATGTTTGAATTAAGTACAACAGGGAGCTTTTCTCATTTAGTTCCCAGCTTATTTTTTACCAGTGCTACAATTAATAACTATTTGTATCATTGATTGAAACCTCATCTTTATTCATCATAAATTCCCCGGGTCTTTAAAAACATGAATTAGTCCGACCCGCAATCCAAAATATACATAAACATCGATACCTTAATATATTAAAATGTGTTTTGAGCCACAGTTTGTATATGTCTTACAGTGTGAGCAGCAGCAGACAGAGGGGTCCTCTGGACGGGGGTCCGGCGGTGACTGCGGTTGTCCCACAGGACGATCTGTCCCGAGTAAGTCCCCCCCACCACCAGGTTGGGATGAAACTTGGCAAAGCCCACAGATACTACAGGAGACTGAGAGAGGATGAGATATGAGATTATTCTGGTGTGAGGTCATCTTACAGGAACATTTGTGATACTGAAGGAGAGAATAGAAATGGTTTGATGAGATGAAATGTGGAGATAAAACAGCACACGGTGAGAAAAGAGCAAAAAGAAAGAAAGATATGAAGCGTGACGCGAGACCAAGCGTGAGTAAGAATGAGTGATCAAGGCATCGTGATGGGTGGCGCACATGGGGAGATAGACGCAGAGGGAGATGATGAGTTTGGCTTTGGTGAGGGTCCGCTGAGGAGAGGAGAGAGGGGTGACGCTGGGGCGGAGACCAGACAAAGAGGGGAATTGTAGTCCTCTTTCCCCCAGCCGTTTCACATTACAGCATCAAAACCCCAGCAGCCACTGGAGCGCTCACTGTAGCCTCCATCATGACAAGCGCACCCTTGAACCCCCTCCGTCCCCGATGCCGTGTTTATTGAGTCTTGGTTCCTCTTCAGTGCCCGTCCCAGATGGGCTTCTGCGTACGGCGGCTAGCCTCCCCTGACCCAGAGCCACTGAAGCATCAGCGCTGCGGAGTTATGAGAAAATGTTTCAGCATCGAATCGCTGCAGGAGGGTAAGTGGTGTTATGCATTAACAGATCCGTCCCTCCATCCATCCATCTAGTGAGGCAGCATGTTCTCGTTGAGAGGAACCATAATTTACAGGCGAGACGGGGCCAAGAGAGCACTAAACAAGAAGCTCACAGACAAGCATCCCAATTAAAAACAGTGAAACTATGAACAACATGACGGGTGGATTTCGCAAAAACATTGTTGCCCAATAGGGTCATAGAGTTTGTCAGAAGAACGGGTGATGACAGTTTTAAAGTTCTAGAAAACAGTACGTAGCGATTTTGTGTTCGAAGAACTGCTCTAAAATGGGCTTGAGAGGCAAGGCTTGTCATTACTTATCAGAATCCTAACAAATAAATCACTCTATTCACAAGGCAATGTTGGCATTGTTTCAAATAGTGGGTGGCCTGAAGCCTGATGATCATTTGTATTGGTTGGTTATTGGATATTAATATGATTTTACGAAATCAGTTAAAAGGATAGTCTAATTGTATATTTGATAAACTAAATGCAATTATAGCCACGGGCTCAAGTAACAATTACTATAAATGTCTAGGAGCTGCATAGTTAACCTGTTAAGCCCCAAAGCCACCGTCGGCGGGTCTTTTTTCTTTCACAAAACATTTTTTTATTTATTTGTTTTTTATTTTTATTTTTTTATAAAATATTTTTATTTTTATTTTTTTTATTTGGATGGAATGAATACCTATGGTGATAATTCAATGTAATACATCATTTTTATAGTCTGGTACCTGAAAAAGGTCAAATGGCACTGATGGAACCAGATGTACCCAAATGTGCCGAAAGCTTATTCCGCCTGGAACTTCTTTTTGCTAAACCTCTCTAAAAAGGTCAGATTTAACTTGTTTTGCCTCAATCTTGATACAGGGTACTTATTATATGTTATAGTTTGGATTCATAAAGCTTTTAATCTACCATCCCATCATTCAAGGGTGATTTTCACTATAAGTAATGTTTTTTCTTTAGGCGGAGGTAAGAATTTACCTTTTTTTACTATGTTCCATCTGAATTTACTCTGACTGAGAAAAATCCATATTGATTCTGACACTTCTACATCCAACTCACAGATGTAACCTTGCTTTGATAAAAACAATTATTCATATAACCCTTTTAGAAGTGAAGTTGTAGTCATTTGTTTTGGGCATGTCATTTTCGAGCCTGAAACCTGAAAAACAGGCTCGGGGCTTAACAGGTTAATGTGGATTGTGAAAAAAGTAACACTAAAACAGTACTCCATTTTGAATTTGTAATATTGTTAGGCGGACGTTTAGCTATTTTTCAGCAAATATTTTGGCAGACACGGCTGTGTGGCAATTTGAAGTCAAATCGAAGTGATGTCATTGGGTTTCTTTTTATATTAACTAAATAAACGCTATAAAAGTAGTTTTAAGAAAACAATTAGGGCTCACATGAATCCACCTTTACATCACATGCATGCTTCACGCAGAAGGTATTAATGTGCCAACATGCAATGAGGTCATGGCAGTTTTGGAAAGCAGAAGTTACTACTGTATATAGGTAGGAAATCTTCAAATTGGACTTCATGTTAAAGGAAAAGCCAAACATTTGTTTTATTTTATTTTTTCGTTCCTCTCCCTCACGCTCTCTCCGGCCACCACAGCATGTGCGGAGCCGCCAACTCCAAACCCCAGTTCGTTTTGAAAAGAGACTGGAAAACAAACCCGAGGGAAAGAAAACACTGCACTCTCTTTCTCTTTTTTGTTTCTTCTGAGGAGTCACGGCTTCCAGACGAATGGCTCGGGAGACGCTTCAGATGTCAAGGCTCAAAATAAACTGAACTTTGTGGTGAAGAATAAAGTCGCTCCTCCGCCGGCGAGGAGGAACTCTCTGAAATGTTTATTTACACGGCCGGGAAAAAGGAATTTAGATTTATTAGCATGTATTACCACACACAAGATGGCCATAAGCTATTAATTAAATTACAATTTGCTCTGGATTATTCCTTTTGCTAAATCATAAAAGCTTCATTAAAATAATGTCTAAAACATATATCTGTCCCATGAACATAGAAGCCATTGAAAAGCAATTTGTGTACCATTTTTACAAAATGCCTCGAATGAATACTAAAAAAAAGTATTGAAAACTTTTCAACAGTAAAGCTACTTCACTTCAAATGTCAGGACGACAGCTCTCATACTCAAATACACTTGGGTGAGTCTGCCTTCACCCGGATCACTTTGATATCTAGGAGTTCTGGGATGACCTTTACACTCTGTGGTCGTCTGACAGGCTGCTGTCTGAGGTCTGCCCCCCCCCCCCCAGTCAGACTCCATCAGTGGGCTAATGAACCCGAGACCCTCCTTCTCCATCATCTCTGTGCACAAACACACACATCCACTAACTAGCTTCATACACACACATGGCTGCAACACCACAACTATTTATCAGGCTTCACAAAGACGGGGGAGAGATTTAGCCTCAGGCAGATACAAGGGAGCAGAAAAACAATATCTAAATAGTTGAAGGATAATAAAAGGCTAGTAACATCTCTAAAGCGAGGATAGTTGTTTCCCTTGTTTCCAGTCTGCATGCTAATCTAAGCTAATTGGGTTAACATTTCCCAGACAGGTCAAACTGTTTCTTTAACTCTCTTTCCCTTTCTCTACTAAGCCTTATTTCCATGCCTAAAGAGATTTAACAAAAACACAAGACTGTCATAAAAGTCAGTCATTACACATTTCAATTTTGATGCTGAACTCCAGATTTGTACATCAAATATATGAATACATTTACCTTTAAACTCGCTACAGAGACCTTCCTCTATTTGATCTATTCAGGAAAGATTGATATGACAACATGTTTAAGTATTAACATAATTAAAGACTCAAATCCACAAGCATATACAGACACAAATAGAAAACATCCCCGCTTTGTGATTCTTCCAGCAGTTATCACGCTAAATAAACATCTCTACTCCACATAAGTATTGACAAAGAGAAGCTAAATTAAATCAAGAGCCTCCTCTATTTGCTCCATATGTTAGTTTAACTCCTAAGCCCTATCAGTGTCCCCATCTTAAGAGGAAAAGTCCTGACTAAACTCTGAATCCACTCTTTGAGAAACCACACGTTATGCCATCATTCCCCTCATGTACTGTACTGGCTTAGTGAAAGAACTACTGACAATTAGCCCGGCTTTGTCCCGGTGCACTTTGAGGCGCGTGCCAGCAGCAACATAAAAGCGGTTCTCTCTAAATGCTTCTAATCGTCTGTCACATCGGCACATATGTTTTGTAGCTATATGCCTTTTAAATGTACTGTATGTCATTTGGTGCTGAAATAAGATCAATTTGTCCCGCGCTATAAGGAAGTTTACGATGTAAATTGCGCATTGGGGAATTGGTTGACACTCTAAAGCGGATTCTCAATTTAAATGTCATGTAGGAAATGAATGACTGAGTTTAGAGCTGAATTATGGAGCTCCTAGTTATGATGGATTTCTGTAGTCGTCTTGTTTACTGTATTTTCATTCCTAAACATTTGCTATCAATGAGAGACATCTCACTGTGTGGAAACATAACTCTGTCATCTATGTGTGAAGCTAATACTCCAAATTAAATACAAAAAGGTTTGACATTTTAGATCAGCACAAAGACTGGAAACAGGAAACTGGACTGGACTAATTATTGGACTGTAGCGAGTCATGTTTGAGTTAGTTTTAGATATGATGTATCATGGACAGAGCCGCCTTGCTGTTTACCAGTCTCCAATCTTTCTGTAAAACTGGGTTAACCGCATCGTACCTATTCCACAGACTTAAATGTTATCAATCTTCTCATCTAACTTTTCGAATAAGCATTTCTTCCCATATTAAACCTTTCCTTTAAATCAAATGCAGCCACACTCCTCCTATCCCCCTGCAGCTTCTCTTCATTTTAGATAACTTTGGACGTATGAGTCGCATGCGCACCACATCTGTCTAAATAACACCTCAACAACTCTCGTGTCGGCGATGCTCCCGCTATGATTGCATCTCCATATCGGCGCTGACTTGTTACGGAGCCTGACATTTCATTTCCAAAAGGCAGAGTGGCTCTGTGGATGGTTCTCCTCTCCCATGCAGCGCGGGTCAGACACCTGCCAGGTCATCTCCTGCCAGCGCAGACCGAGAGGATGTGGGGAGTGACAGCTCCCGGAAGAAAAAGCAGCGGAGAGAGAGTCACTTCGGTGTATTTGGCCTCGGATGAATTGTGGAAGTTTTACAGGGCGACACTCTGGCAGTCAGAACAGTGGGTTACATTTCTTTCCTCAGGCAGGATCTGCCGAGTGTGTATGTGTGTGTACATGGGGAGAAACTCACATACACAAAGTATCATCTACCATATCTCACACAGGCTCGCAAGGCTAAGTGCTTCTGGCAGCCCTTATTATATTGATGGGAAGTGTTCTGTAGAGGATAATACACACATGGTAGGCCCTGATGAAAGATGGCACCCAGCAAGGGATTAGGGGGGTACGGAGGAATGACAGAGAGAGAAAGAAAGCTGGAGAGAGACGAACACTCCTTCCTTTGTTGCTTCTTGCGATCCTTCACATTTCCTCGGGCAACAAACTGTTCCTTGAGTCGGCTCGGGACGGCAGAAATAAAGCGAGAGTGGTATGGTGAGAAGAAAGAGGGAGGCGGCGGTGGGGGGGGGTGATCGGGCATGGCAGACAGTATATCCTCCCAAAAGTAGATCCACGCTCCATCCTTTCCCCCCTCCTGCCCCCCCCCCCCCCCCCCCCCCCCCCCCCTTTGCTCACCACACTCATCTGTTTCCCACTCAGCCTTATCAGGACCAGATGGATCTGACTGTCTTCCCTCGCATCCCCGCTCCTCAACCTCCCCCTTCCTCCCCGACCACCTTTCTCCTCCCTTTCTCCCCCTGGCTTCGCTCGTTTATGACACCCCACGGATTTTGTCACTCTGTGGTTTCTGGCAAAGAGAGAGAAATACCGAGCCGAGTCTCAATTTCACCCTGCAAAGAATGAGGAGCGAAAGCATGAGGAAGAGGCTCTGGGAGCAAAAACAGGCCTTTCTCTGCCTCCTAGGGCTCCTATCTCTTTATTTCATATATTTAGTTTGTTGGGCTCATATCTTTTTCTTTTGCCTGTTAGTTGCTTTAATGATGGTTGCGTGTTTGACTTAACCATACACTGCTGTATTCTATTCTGATATTGAACAATAGATTCAGATGCGACAAGTTCTTCCACAGGTCTGTTTTCCAAACACATTTATATCTATTGCAATATTACCACAGAATGTAAAACGGGGCAAATTGAGCAGTTTTAAACTTTGAATTCCTTTTGAAAACTTACTCTAGTTGAAAAACTGGGTAGAATTAGCTATTTGTCAATATTGTTGCCAAAGGTCGACAGTTTCCATACCGATATTAAAACAATACTTCTTTAAATATCTTGGGTAGGAGAGTATATTTTTTCAAAGTTTAACATGTTGGGAAATCTGCTTTCTTGCCGGCAACCTCATTTTAATAGTACCAGAACACACCTGGAAGAAATAATGAAACCACATAAAGTAACCCACTATAAAATAACATCTTAATTAAACAAATAAGGATGTGCTAATAAGTGAGCTTGTATGTGGACTTTCGCTAGCTGTTTTATTTTTTCCAGATCTTACGCTTAAGTAGGTAAACCTGTGGTATCAATCTTCCTAACTAACTCTTTGAAAGTTTGACGCATAATACGTCAAACTTTAAGTAAGGCCCAATTCTCAACAAGTTGGATTTAAGAAGAACTGGTTTCAATATCCAGACTTTTTTTTTGTTGCAAAATGAGACACTGCTTTTTGTACAGCCAAAAAGTTGTACAAATAATCAAATTTACCGCAAAATTCAACCCTAAAACGTTTTTTCCAGAACAAGCTACACATGTTTCCAAATCAACTCCAGTCTCACAGTCGTATATTGCTTCGCTAGCGCTTACAGGAGTTCTCTGCTAAGCTTTCTGAACGCAATGCAGCTTCAACCTCCAGTGTCATTTCACATTGGTTCCAACTTAGAAAAGGCCTGTGAATAATGCTGTTGCAGTGGTCTCTCTTTTCGCTCCCTACCCTCCTTCCCTCCCTCTCTCCTCTCCTCCGCTTCTCTTACTCAACCTTCCTGGAAGTGTCAAAGGCCTAGGGAACAACGCAAGGCAGCACGATATTAATACAAATATGTCTGAGTCCAATGGGATATGACAGCAGCGGCGGGGGTTGTTACAGGGAGGCGTGTGGTTTCGGGGGTTCGGCAGAGGTTTTAAGTCAAACGGGCTCTTTAATGTGGTGTGACTTTGCCCACTTGAGAGGCTGGTGTGAAGTTACAAGATTGGCCCCAACTGGGATGGGGCGATGATGGGTCCAACTGCTGAGACGGCCCTGATGAGGGGAGGCACGCTCAACTGGTACCAGAATCCACAGCAGCGCCCCCTTCCCACTGACGGGTCACACTTCCTCTGTTATGTTACAGATCACTTGGCTGCTGAAGTGGGGTCATGAAACTGCCCCCGGTCATCAAGGGGATGTTTGATATCAGTTATAGTTTATTCGCTGTCTAGAATGAATGAGAATTCAAGATCTGTAAATATAAAACTTGAAATATATATTGAAAACAGCTTAGACATGATTCTTTAATGTCACTTTAAATGGAATTGATTCATCTTGAATTGTTTAGGATCGACGAGGGAACACCATTTGTCAAACCAGGACCTGTCTGTTTAACTGTTGCATTAGAATACAATATTACAACACTGTTGCAGTCAGACACACACTTGTACTCCTCCCAAAATCAACGCCAATTTTTCAACGTTTTACTTTGCACAACACCAGCAAGTCACAGACAATAAATCCCAACAGGGCTAACTGATAAAAAACATTGCCTAATGAGAAATGATGTGTAGTGTCAAGTGTAATTAAACAAGGTCCCTACAAAAGTGAATACAGCTCCAAAACAAATAAAACTGCACCGGACACATTTCTAACCAAAATGTGAACCCTTGTTTAGGATAAAACATTTAAACCCTGAATAGGCGGCTGTACGTTGTTAGGAAGGTCGTTTTTTTTTGCTTTGCTAAGCCCATCCACCAAACTGCACGCGGCCAGGCAAGAAATATAGAAGCCTGACCTCACCAAAACCCCATCTGAAACACGAAGCCTTCTATAAGCCTAGCCTTATACAATAAAGCCCCTGCTGAACCTCAACCACAAACCCTCCAATTCCGACCCTGCACTGTCATTCTTTGGTACCCTTCAAAACACGTGTATGATACTCATTATGTGCACTATAGTATTCAGACATCTACCTAGTATCCATCCAAAAAATAAAACCCACAATAGATGCATAGAGAAAGCCTCCTATCCGTCTGTTCTTTTAGTTTAGTATGGGACGTTGAAGGTGAAAAGAAGAATAGGAAAAAGTAGAGAAAGAGGGGAAGAGGCCCCTGCCCTTGTGGTTTTGGGGGGGTTACTCGGCAGAACATGCTCGCACATTAAGAGCCATTCGATCCACGGCTAACTAGGGAGTCGCGACTCTGTTTGCAAAAGGAAAAGAAGAGAAAAAATGTCTCTTCTCCTCTTCCCTCTCGTCTAACCGCTCCTGTGCTGCTTTCATCCAAATCCAACAGTGACAGGGGAAGTCATGGCTGAGGCACTTGCAACCCCTTCTTTCTATTTCCACTCCATTTTTATTTTATCTTCATTCATCCTCTGTTTATATGGGCACTCCATTACTCCAAGTCCCTGCTCATTTGCGCTCTACTTTCTCTTCCTTTCACTGTTTTTGAGTCATTCACTTTTGTTTCTCCCCGCATGAAAAGAGCATGGCTCAGCCCCAGGCCACACTAACTCACTGACTAACACTGGGGCGGTAGGAAAGTGAGGAGTTTCTGTTCTCTCAGTTTTTCTTCGGTCTTTTCTCCATCTGATATCACTTCATCTAATGCACATCTTTCCAGTAAACACTCACTTACAAAAAAAAACAAATCTCGGCATGTGGACAATTTGACTTTGTTTGAAGAAAGTACTTCGTATGAGTCTGAGAATCAAAAACAAACACAATTGACAATACGTTGTTATGTATACAGATTCTTATTCCTCTGTTTTTCAATGAAAACAGACGCTATTGTATTCCAGTGAGCGCATTTTCACTTACACTCGAGCTCAATTCACCTCTGTTGTACACATTAGCAGCTGAATGCACCCTTAATATAAACTGAGCATTTTATCAGCTGCTCACACAAACATCCTTGAACCCCAACGTCTAATATTTATTACTGGTGATCCACAAATAAGCATGCTCAGAAACCGCATTGTTAATAAAGTCAGATGTACTGTGAATACTTCGTCAGAGAACCACATGGAAAAACGACTGAATCCTACAGCGACAAAATCCCTCGCTGTAATCTATCCTTAAGACCACATGGATTTTAGCAGCGGCATCAATTATGGTGCAGTGAAAGAACCGAGTGCTTTAAAAGTCCATTATGGAGCGAGACTTGTATAGCGAGCTAGATATTGAAATATTTCCACGCAGAGTGCGGTCTTCTGGAGTGTGTGGTTCTGTATGTGTTCGACAAAAAAAGATTTCCTCTGTTTAAACGAAGCCTAAATGTGAAAGTATGTGTGTGCATTTTATTTCTGAGCAATGAGGTGAATGCCTGTGACTTTAATACTTTTACAGGTGTATTTCCAAATGTGCAGTGACGTGTATGAGGAAAATTTGTCAATTATTGGGGAAACCCGGCACTGCTGACATTAGACGCAGCATCAACGTGGGTGGGCTTACACACACATGTGGCAGCGTTGGATTAGGAAGTGGTAGGCCACATCATTTAACTAGCAAGACGTCTCTATACGGCCTCGCCTGTCTCGCGGGAGCCGTGAAGCCCTCACACCCAATCCTTCTATCCCTCTCTCCTCCCTCCCGTTTTCTCAGTGTCACTTGTTATTAGCATCTCACCCATCATTGAGTTTCTTTCCAAACCAAAACCTACGTTTTTGCCATTAAAACTGGCCTGCAGTGGCACCGTTCAGCTTTAATCCAATCTGGAGGGTCAAATAAGCGCTTGTGGTGCTGCCTTTCATTTCCCTTTGCTTCACTCGCTACTATTCAGTCACAAAGGGGCTCTCATTATAGGGTAGAAAAGAGGAAAAAGCTGGAGCTGTTGGGTTGCCATTTAAGGTATGAAAAGAGGTGAGAGGAAGATGGAGCATGATTTGTTCTTTATTTTGTAGGTTCGTTGCAGATGTTTGTATACTTGCAACTAAACACCCACAAAACATAGGAGAAATTAAATAATGAAAATGAACACCTTCCTTACATGTCCTGAAATCATATCTGCCATCATATTTTGTAGTTGTGAAAATATGTGTACAAGTACCTGACAGTGATAGATGTACTCAGGTGTGGCCTTCTTAAATTTCATGTTCCATACTAAAGCAACACCATCCGGTTCATGAGGAGCATCCTCATTATTGTTGTAAGAGGCAACCAGCAGCTCTGGATACTGAAAGAGAGAGACAGAGGGATGAACATATAAGTATGAAAGTGATGCTCAACACCTGCATGTTTGCTGCAAGACTTTAGGAAGCATCGTTTTGGATGTATTCATTTTAAATGTACATTGACACACACATAGCTGCAGGCCTCACCTGAGGGGACCAGTCGAGGCAGGTGATCACGCGATGTTTGGACCAGTGTTCATCGTAGAAAACTCGGCTGAAGGACAGACTGGAGCCGCTACCCAAGTCTCTGAAAAAACACAGTAAATATATCATGAAATATCCTGCCAAGAAAATAATGTGCCTTCAGTCTGCAGGGGTCGGTTCAAGGTTCAAGGTTCAAGGTTCAAGGTTTTTATTTAGTCATACGAACACAGCTACAGTGTAGTTATGTCGATGAAAATCTTGTGTCACAGGCTTCTCCAACAGTGCAACACAAAACACAGATAAACAGAACAATATAGTGCAAGTAAATAGTAAATAGTCAATACAAAAAGAAAAATAGTTTAAAAAAGTGAAATAGTGAAATAGTGCAATAAGAGTCTATATGCAAGTTATTGGAATATGATATATTAGATAAATAGATAAATTATTTCTAAGTAGCAGCCAGATGAATGTTATGGATGTTGTTTCAGCAGTGCAGGTGTTTAACAGTCTTATTGCCTGTGGGATGAAACTGTCCCTGAGTTGTGGTCACTGCTGGGGTGCCTCCAATCTGGAAATCCACACTGTGTATTCGAAATAGTCAGATTGTTGCATAATTTCAGTAAGCTGTTTTGTATTTTGTGTCTATTTGTTCATTGCAACTCAGTCAATTACAACATTACATTACATTACATTGCATTTAGCTGACGCTTTTATCCAAAGCGACTTACAATAAGTGCATTCGACCAAGAAGATACAAACTTGAAGAAAACAGAAGTAAGATAAGTACATCAGGTTTCATGGAGCCAAAACATTTCAAGTGCTACTCAACTGGCTTTAGATAAGCCAGTCCTTTGTTAGTATACAAGTGCTTTGTTAGTATGTAAGTGCTGAGTTAGTATATAAGTGCTTTTTATTTTGTTATTTATTTTCTTTTTAATTGTATTGCTCGAAGTTGAGTCGAAAGGGATGAGTTTTTAGTCTGCGCCGGAAGATGTGTAAGCTTTCTGCTGTCTTGATGTCAATGGGGAGCTCATTCCACCATTTTGGAGCCAGGATAGCAAACCGACGTGTTTTTGCTGATGGGAACTTGGGTCCTCCTCGCAGTGCGGGTGCAGCGAGCCGTTTGGCCGATGCAGAGCAGAGTGCTGGGGTGTATGGTTCAACAAACATTGTTCACTATTCACTGTGAATGATCCCCTTTGTCTGCAGTGCTACATCAGATTGAATGGTGGTTAAGTTGTTACAATTACATTTAAAAACAATGGAAACGGTGAAAAGGAGAGTACTGATGTTGAGCCTGTTTTAGAAATAATCTCTATTTGACCAAAGGCTTGATGCTTAACTGTGGCTGCAGTGGTCAAAGTCAAAGTTAGAAGCATTTTTATATAATAGCAGAGCAGTATACTAACACATCTTTGCATTTCAAACTTCAACCGACACTTTGATAACCTACAACTGTTCGGATTGCAAGACGAGATGATGGATGTCAGTTTCCCCCTGAGAGGGTGACATCAGCAGGAAAACATGCATTTTGAAGAACAAAGGAGTTCCCGGGACCCTAAAGTGTCACAGTGGGCATGAGTCAGTCTTTGCACATTTCCTAGTTTGAGGCACGCAAGCAAACACACACACACACACATGTGCTCTCACAGCCAAACACAGACTCTCCCTCCTCCCTTCCAAGCTCACCCCTCCTTGTCCTCCAGGTCCCGGCCGCTGTAGTCGAAGAAGATGTTTCCGTCTTCGGCCAGAGCTCTCTCCATCACCCGGATGCTGCAGTCGAAGAAACTCTGAAAGTCTGAAGAGTGCAGGATCTGCTGCCTCTCCTCCTCCGTCAGCTCTCTCAGAACTGGAAAGGAGCCTGGTGAAAGGAACATTTCATAAAGACAAGAGCATGAGAGAAACAGTTATTCACACATTATGCACAGCGCACCCCGGAAAACGTGGGTTTAACATCTTAAAACTTTGCATTTCTTTTGTCCGACCAATCTTCCAAATTCCAAAGATATTACATTTATTTTTATTATAAAACAAGAGAAAAACCTTCCTCACCAAGTAGCTACAAGTAGGGAACGTTGACAATACATTTAGCTGACTTATGTTTTATCAATGTACTTTATTTCTTGCAAAAGTTTATTATCAGTACTAATAACATTTTCTCTTTTCCTTTTTATACCTAAAATATAAAATTGCCCAATCCTTTGTTGCATTATTTAAGAGAAACAAATAATAAATCATCTCAATAGTGCATTTAAAACTGTAATAAGTCAATAGTATTTGATGTGACCTACAAAATACAGGTATGTGCTTTTGATTTTAAATAGCTGAACCACACTTTCGCTCTGTACCGTTCAAAAGGGTTTTTACTAAGACATTTCTATATTTTGAAACTCAACTAAGACATCTGTATTTACACTACTCTAATGATTGTGACAACCTACTTTTAATAACTGAAAATAGTTAAAATACCTGGCTGTGTATGACTTGAATGCATTATAAAGAAAAAAGGGCTTCCGATGTCAGATTAACATTCACTTCATCTCTATCAAAACCAGGATCCCATCAAGGACATAATAAACTACAAACAGTTCCTAATGCATCTTTTCTAATAAAACCCTACAGTAAGAAGTTCATAAACAAGAGAAAAAACAAAGCGTCCCGCCTCCCTTTGAACGTAATGGCTGCACAGCACGGCGTCCGGGTTTTGAAGTCACTGTCCCCAAGCACACATGCGATTTTTACACACACAGGCACGCACAAACACACATATATCGACCTTTACCCTGCCTCTTGACTTTGATCCCCCCCCCCATCCCTTTGTATTTCTTACGAGTTGTCAGAAAAGACCCAGTGATTCGAGTGGCAGAGATCAAAGGCCAGACCTTCTAATAGGCCAGGATGGAGAGGAGACGGATGACTTTGTGTTTATGAGTGTGTGCGTGCATACATCTGACTATGTGTGTGTGTGTGTGTTTGAGTCACATTCAGTGCCGTCAGGAGTGTGTTATGAGTCTGAATACGAATATGTCTTTCCATCTGTGTTTTTATCACATGTTGTATTTTAATCAAGCCAACACAACACAAACGCTCCACATACACACACGCGCTTCTCCATTCCTCTCCTCTTTGAAGTGTGGTCAGGGGGGGGTCAAGTGACAGGTTTTTAATCAGTGCTGACCCCTACATGCCATGGAGCTGATATGCTGGACCCGCCTTAACCCCCACCATAATCACCCCCGTCCTTCCATCTGATAAACCCACTGACTGGCAGAGGGTGTCACACACAAGTGGCCGTGATTCGTGACAGTTTCAAAAACAACATGAGAGAAGTCTAGGAAAAGAACTAGAGGGTAAAGAATGTTATGTTTTTCTGTCTGCAGAAATTCAGGGCACAATTGCTACATAAAGTTAATTAATAAACACAAATAAATGAACTCAAATGTGTTTGCAGATGCATTTTATTTCATCAAATAACTATTTATTTCTTAAACTGTACTGTAACTTTTATGGTTTTATTGCATGCCTGTTTTATTCAAATTAGTGTTTAATGTTTCACATTGTATTTAAATGTCCTTTTATTACGCACTTTTTTGCACTTTGTTGCTATGCTTTAAATGTTTTAAAGCATCATTGTTGCTCTAATGTGCTTTGTATTTAAACATGCAGGAGGAAACCTACAAAAGAAAATACACCAGAATAAATAAGGTGATTACGGATCTCTAAAATGCTAATAGCTGAACATGTTTACCCTCCAATAATGGATTCATCCTTTGTACCTTCTTTGTTTTCTCTGTTGTCATCTTCATCCTGTTGCTCCGACTCGGGGCCTGGCTTCGCCTCCATCATCTCCTCATCTTCCTCTTCCTCCTCTACTGAGAGAGAGTAAAAGAAAGAAAGAGAGAGAGAGCACTCATGTAAATCAACAGCTGTTCCAATTTTCCTCTACCTCCCGCTGTGTCCTGCCTTCCCCCCCTTCTTAGCAAAATAATCATTCCCAGACAAGCACCGACGTACACCTGACTAACTAACATTCTGTCCAAATGGGTTTCATTTACAAACACACGCACTGCTGGGTTTTTTCAAAAAACACAAAATGTCAAGCATTCAAGCTGCAGAGATATTACACTTGCATATGTTTACTAAGTATACATTGTAATATAAAATGAAACAAGCTTGTAAACGTATCCGTATGGTCTGCATATGTGCAAACAAATATAACACACAAAAACACACAGAGACGGACAGCAGGAAATGTCAGAGTTCTGTTCACTCTTTCACCTTTGACCCAAAAGGAAAAAGATCCATTGGTGTGTGTGTGCGTGTGCGTGCGTGTGTGTGCACGTGCGTGTGTGAAGGGGATTCCCTCTGCATTCCCTCTAATCAGGCTCAGCAATTATTTGCCTCTCCAGGATGTATTGTAAGTATGTGCAGTGTGTGTGTGTGTGTGTGTGTGTGTGTGTGTGTGTGTGTGTGTGCGTGCGTGTTTGGGAGGTGGTGGGGTTCAAGTATGAAGGGTTACTGTCAACATAGGCACCTGCTTGTCAGCTACTCCCCCCCCCCCCCCCCCCAACAAGCCCTCACTCCCCTCGGGGTGTGTGTTGGTAACCCTTACCAACCTCTCCTCCTCTTTTCTGTTGCTCCTTCCCTCCGAAACAGATGCTTAGATTTTTTTGGGGGCCCCTCTCAGTAGACCTCTTAACACCCTGACACCGTGACCAGACACCTGTGGTCTGCCAACACACACGCTGCACACATACGATCTGTCTTTCCCTCTCTCTCCAACACACACATCCCGGGGCCCACGCCTGTAGAGCCAGGGGTGGCGAGGGGTTAACTGGCGCAGGGTCAAGCTGACAACAGTGGCTCAGTGCAGCGGGAGGAAGTGACTACATCACACTCTCAGACGTGTCATGTCTCTCTCTCACACACACACAGAAACACACACTCACGGGATGTGTTTAACTCAGCTGGAGTATGGCCCGGGGCACTGTTAAAACCACTTGCTGAAGCACTGCTCTTGCACCGGACGAACTGTCTATTCATCACTTGGACTCGCCTAAGCTTTTGATAAACTCACTGCTGCTCTTTAAAAAGGTACAAATTTGATTATAATGGTGGAGTGATCTCATCAATATGATTGGGATCACTTCTGGCTTTAATTTACTTACATTTTTCCTTTTCTCACCCGTTTTCTTTTTTTTTCTACCAAATGTTTGATATATGACTTTCTTACTGTACATAATAAATCACTAAGCCATATCAAATGCATGCCGGTGAGGCTCAGTCCAAGTAAGTGGTTAACAGTCAGCAGTAGTGATCCAAACACCAGTGACCCACCAGTATGGAGGAGAAACCAGAGAAAAAACAGACAGGCAGGCTGCCAGACTAGCTCCATGTCTGAGCTGCCAAAACAGCCAGGCAAACAGACGCACAGGAATACCCTTCATTCAGGCCTTTTGTCATCCATTGATGGATCAGTTTATACATTTTGATTTGTTCAGATATTGTTTTCTTGTCATCTATCAGTCTCATCACTATTCCTCTCCACAAACTGCTGTCATTACTCTGATATGGCTTTAGGATGTGAACAGAAATGTGGGGTCCTGCTAATAAGATGCATAACTAATTTATATTCTTAAATGTTTTCCTTGACCTTATGTGACCGGTCCGCTGGTTGGAATGTGTGGTGATGGTGATGGGAGGAGCGTCAGTAGAGGAGAGAGAGACCACATTGAGGAGCGGTCAAACTGTCAACCCCCGGGACCACAGGACTCTGGAGCAAGGCAGCGTGATTCATGGCCTATGGGTTACCTCACTGAGGGGAGACGGTCCAATTCCCGTATGAAGATACTGCTGATGTCGTTGCCAGCGGCAATGCATCAAGTTGTTCTGTCAGAGTCCCCGCACCAAAAATATCCTGGCTATTTCCTTTGGATGGACATTTTTAGGGGTACATGTTTATGTATGTAAGTAAAGCAAAAGCTCCATTGCGGTAAATGATACTGGAAAGTAGGATCCATGGGTTGGAAATGATGATATAAAAGTTTTTTTAAATGTACATGCAAACACACACAGAGCCACTACAGGGTGTACTGATGTGTTGCAGAAGAAGCAGGGAGGGGAAATCAAAAGAGACAATCTTCCACAGTTAGAGTGTGTCTGCTTGCTACCCTGTAAGTATCCACACACTTTCTTATTTCCACCTCTTTCCAGTCACGGGATGCTTTCTCTTTCCACCTGCCGCTTAATACCGCTCCTCACCGCGGGACAACAGGTTAACTGGTGTCCTCCCCCTCGCCGTAGACGGGGGTCCACCTTGATGAAACACCGCTTGGGGGCTCCTGTTTTGGCCGACTACACACCCGGGGTAATGATATCCTCCGTAGCCCGGGGCCGCCGCATCTGGCTGCCTCAATCTTCCCCCGGCTGCTTACTCATGCTGACCATGCCCAGTCAATTCTGCACAACCCAGCAGGTATGAAGACACACAGACTCACAGTGTGGAGATACACACACAAGTACACACAAACAAATGTGTAAAGGTGGTTTGTAAATGTGTATGTACACACACACACACACACACATACACAGAAACACACACAAACAGAGAATGTCTGAATTTGTGAAATTGTTTGGAAACACAGAAATAGGACATACTGCAACAAAATGGATGGCAGTAACAACAGAGCCTTTCATATGCCTTGTAGGCTCTGCATGAGTAACACTAGAAACTGGCCAATGTGTGGTCATTTAGGGCTGAAAAAATTATAAAATATATGATTGTATATTTTTCTAATGGACCTATCCATTCCAAAACATATCCCAGTAAGAGGATTGAGTATCTGCCATCATTATTCATGTTATTTGACATAAAAATCATTCCATTAAAGGCACTGCAGTGAGATCTACAGGCTTTAAATGAAGGAGAAAGGGAACAGTGGTACCAGATCGGTGCTTGGCATACACAGATAGTTAAGGTTAACAAAATGATTGTTTCCAAATGTATGATTTCAAGCATATTATGATAAGAAACTAGAACTATTAGAAACATCGTTATTTAAAGAGCTGCACTGGCAATTATTTTCATTATTGATTAATATGTTGATTATTGTTTCCATTCATCACTTGGTCTTTAAAATTAAAATAAAAACAGCAATGACATTTTACCAGGTTCCATGTTGACATTTTAAAATTGCTAGTTTAGACCAACCAACAGCCAAAGTATTAAGCTAAATATCATAAAAGGCTTAATATTCACAATGGCTGGATTGAATATTTCTTTCTCTTTTTGAAGAGAATAAAGTAACCATAGCGGTGCATAGAAAGATTATGGCTGATTTTTTCTCAATAAAACAATCAAGATATTGCTCTTTAATTTTGTCAACAACAACACTGTTTTCTTTTATTGTCTATGTAACAAAGCACCATTTGCTGGTTCTTCCAAAGCAAAATATATGTTTGCTTATAGCACAGGGTGAAATAGTCCAAGTGAGAGTAATGTTTTGATCTGTTTGTTTGATAAAGAAAACATAGTCTTAATGAAGGCTGATACACCGCTGGGAGTTCCATTAGCTTAAACATCTTGTATTATTTCACAGTAGGCAGCTAGTTGTAAAGATACTGACAGCATATAAAAGACGTACACACTCACACACACACACCATCTTCTGCTCCCCTTTGGCTAGTATATAAAGCACAATGGCACGGAGTGTCACAGCAATAATGTGTTAGCATGTGTTCTGTTAGGGATCAAAGCATCCGCTAACCTTTTTTTCTGAACCCAATCCACATTAAGTGCTGGTGTGCTGAAATGTGTTAGCGCAAGCTTGGAGCGATTGGCATGGTTATCAAAGAGCTGCGGGTGTGTGTGTGTGTGTGTGTGTGTGTGTGTGTGTGTGTGTGTGTGTGTGTGTGTGTGTGTGTGTGTGTGTGTGTGTGTGTGTGTAAGCCGTGGTGCTGTAAAAAGCACGACCAATTATTTTAGCCGGGCCGGCTAAAATAATTGGATGGCCTACCTGCCTGTCAGCCTTCCATCTCGTGCACAAACTTATCTCGTGCCCTCATTGGTCATGTGCACGTTCGTGTGTGTTGGAGGAGGGGCTCTGTAAGGAAGTCTGAAGGAAGCGGCAGATTTTTTTCGGCTGCGTACTTTCAAATTCTAGCGCACTCCAGCTGGTTTCTACATTCTTACCTACCCTACCTTTAAGCCACCTACAAAGTCAGTCAAATGTAGAGTAATTTCTTGTTCAATACTTTTCCCCAGCTATACATGCAGACCATTTTATTAAGATAGAAGTGAAGATGCATAAAATGTCAGGCACTGATAACCCTTTACAACCGTATGCTTGTGATGTGTTAATTGTATTCAGTTTTTGCATTTCCTTTTTGTGTTTAATAGAAAAATAATGCTTAAAATTCATCATGGTTCATCAAGTTATGATTACCACAGTAGGGGTAAAGTATTCGCCCCACACACACACTTCCTCACACTGATCAAAAACTGTGTGTGTGTGTGTGTGTGTGTGTGTGTGTGTGTGTGTGTGTGTGTGTGTGTGTGTGTCTGTGTTTGGAGGTGAGGATGAGACCGGGCTCCAAGTCTGTCATCAACTACAATATGGGGGCAGAGCCGCAGACTTATCGTAGCAGTATGGAGGTGACTGCGAAACTGAGTCACGCACAATCAAAGTTGACAGAGTTTTTATAAATCTCTATTGTATTAATCACAAAGAAAGATGAATACTGATATGATATGGAGGAGGCGGCGGTAACAGGAAGAGGGAAAGATGAATCCAGCAGGATTTTGGGGGCTCCCACGCACTGGAAATAACCCTACAACATGTCACACACATTCATATGGACACACACTGACACA